GGGGGGGGGCTGCCCCGCGTGTGCCCGGATCCGCAGGGCGGGCGTCCGCACACCCCGGCCCCGTCACCCGTCACCATGGCACCCCCGGCCCGGCCGTTGGCATGGCAGCGGGCCTCCTGGCACCCCCGGGGCTGCGCCGCCGGCTCCGGGGCCAGCTGGTGGGGGGGAGGGGAGGAGCTGGCACCGGCGCATGGGTGCGACTGCGCGAGGGTAGGGGGTGGCCCGCCTGTTCTGTTCCTCCCCCCCTCTGTTTCTCTCCCTCTTTCCCTCCCTCTCCCTCCCTCCCCCCTCCCTCATCCCTTCTCCCCCTCCTCCTCCTCTCTGTCTCTGTCTTTCCTGTGTTTCTCTCTCTCCCATACACATATGCACACACGCACACGCAAGGGCCTCAGGCTCAGGCAGGAGTAGGAGACTTGGAAATACCTTTCCTGAAATCACCAGGCACCAAGGTTTCCACAGCCACAACCCCCCACATCGGGCTAGTGCCTGCGGGGTACTCCTTGCCATCCTCATCCGGAGGCTGGGGGGGCTAGCCATCAGGCTAGGAGCTAGCATCAGGCTGGGGGGGCTAGCCATCAGGCTGCAGGCTTACCGACGCCTCTTCCCCAGATCACCTGCTGGCTGACGCCTACTCTGGCCACGAGGGGTCCCCTGAGATGCAGCCCGCCCCCCAGAACAAGCGCCGCCTCTCCCTCATCTCCAATGGCCGCTATGAGGGCAGCCTCTCAGAAGAGGCTGCTGGTGGGGAACCGGCCGCAGAGGGCCCCCAGCCCCGCGTGTACACCATCTCTGGGGAGCCCACCCTGCTGCCCAACCCTGAGGCCGAGTCGATCGAGCTGGCTGTGGTGAAGGGGCGGCGGCAACGAGCACGGCACCCCCACCACCATAGCCAGCCCCTGCGCGCCAGCCCAGGCAGCAGCCGCGAGGACGTCAGCAGGGCATGCCAGAGCTGGGCAGGCAGCCGCCAGGGCTCGAAGGAGTGCCCTGGATGTGCCCAGCTGCCCCCCGGGCCCTCCCCCCAAGCCTTTGGGCTGGAGCAGCCACCTCTGCCCGAGGCCCCCGGCCGCCGCAAGAAGCTAGAGAGGATGTGCAGCGTCGATCGAGTGTCTGGTGAGAGGGCCTGGCTCAGGCGTGAGCAGGCACGGTGCATGCTGGGATCACCCAGATCATAGTGTGAAAGTGGAAGTTGGGATTCATTTTCTCCCCTGGGTGCTACAGGCTCACATCCGTAATCCAAGCTACCCAGGAGGCTCACATTTAGAGGATCAAGGCTCAAAGCTGGCCTGAACAGAAAACTCCAAGAGACTTCAGAAAATCATGGGCTGAGATCAGAGGATCATGGTTCAAAGCCAGCCTAGCAAGAATAGTCTAGAGACAAAGACTCAGTCTCCACTTAACTAGCCAGAAAGGTAGAGTAGAGCTGTGGCTCAAGTGGTACAGTGCCAGCCAATGAGTGAAAAAGCCAAACAAGAGCATAAAGCCTAAAGTTCAAGCCCCAGTACTGGCATACATGCGCACGCGCACACACACAAAGCCAAGCTAGAGGAATGACTCAAGTGTGGTAGAACACAAGCGGAGCAAGTGCCAGTCCCTGAGTTCCAGCCCTGGTATTGGCAAAAACAAAAACCCTCAGGCTCCTACTGCCAACCAACCCCGTGAATGGTGGCCTCCCACAGTGCTTTAGCAAAATCCTTGCCAGTCCTCGTCAATGGCTTCTCCCTCCCAGCCCTTGTCCAGAACTGCTTCCTGGGAAAAGGAGCCTGGGAGGAAGGATAGACAGAACCTACGGCTCAACTGGAAGATTGGACTGTTGGCAACTCTAGAGAGCTGTCTAGGGCCAGGCCGGAAAACCCTGGGAGCCGCCTCTCCCTGCAGCACTGTTTCCCGGGATGGGCCACTAGACTCCTGCCCTAGGATCCAGACCACTCCAGACAGGACTGTGGGAAGGGGAGCGGCTTCAGATTGTCCTCCACTCTCAGCCAGGGCCTCTAGCTTATTCTGGTGGGAAGCATTTGGCTAGCTGATACCTAAGATGTCTCAAAGGAGACAAAATACATCCTTTTCACATACTTCTGGAGATAGACCACATTTTGAAAATGTTCCTCAGGTTGAGCAGCTAAAGGGGGAATTAAAACAGAAATCAAAGCCTGAGGTTTTGAGGGTAAATGCTGAGTGGGGCCTACATGGAGACTGCCAGCTTCCTCCCTGTTGGGAGAGGACCAGGTATCCTGCCGCCTTGACCCTGCTGCTGCTGGTCCCCTGGACTTGACGGGGAGGGGTCGGGCATCAGGACCCTTGTCTACGCTAGCCACAGACTCTTTCTCTCTGTCTTCCAGATGAGGGCCCCATCCGAACCTGGTTCCCCAAGGAAAACCTTTTCCGCTTCCAGACAGCAACCACAACTATGCAAGCGTGAGTGGAGTGTCTGCCACAAGGGTCCAGAGCCAGTCTGCCTCCTCCTGTGCTCAAGAAAGACTGACAGCCCTACTCTGGCGGCCTCTGAACAGCCGCACGTTCCATCATATTGGCAGGCCAGGCTGAGGCTGAGTCTGGGGGGGGGTGCTGGTGCCCTACCCCCTCTTCTCCCTCGCTTCCTCACTTCCCTCCCCCAGGGCCCCCCACAGACCTTGCACAGCCCCTGTGGCTGCCTCAGGGAACCCAGCCTTGAGCTGGCACTGGTGGCACTGGTGCGGGCCGTGGGATGGGGGTGTCTGGGCCTCGTGTGTGCTCTAAACCACAGCCTGTGTGTTTCATGGCCCACACATGATTGACCCAGCAGGTCTTCTGGGAGTCAGCCTTTGCTGCTGGGCCCCCATGCTAAACCCAAAGCAGAAGCCCACCCTCTGCTGCAGAGGTCTGGCCTCTGCAGGTCCAGCCCCCAGCCCCTCAGCCGCTCTGCTCCAGCCCTGCCAGAGCTAGCCCCCAGCCCAGCACAGGCCCAGCCCCCAGCCCCTCAGCCACTCCCAGCCCTGCCAGAGCTAGCCCCCAGCCCAGCACGTGTCCCCTTCCCCGAGTGACAGAGGGGACAAACCCAGAGCCCCTGAGGCGGAGGGAAGCCTGGGACGCAGGCTCACTGTGTCTTCTCTCCCACGCTGCCTCTTCCTGCTGTGGCTTCAGCATTTCGTAAGTACCCCATTAGGCGCGTGCGTAAGGACACAGCCACGGTCCTGGGGGACGTCCGGGGACCTGGGCCTTCCCTGTGAGGAGTGCCGAGCCGCGCGGACTCCCGCGGGCAGCCAGGCATTCCCTGCCCCCATCTGCCAGTCTGTCAGGAGCTGGTCCTCTGTGTGTCCCTCTGTCCCCGTGTCTGTGTCCCTCCTGCCTCCAGTCAGGGGCAGTGCTGACTTGCGGCGGTTTCCCAGGGTGTTTAGGGGCTACGCGGAGAGGAAGCGCCGGAAACGGGAGAATGATTCCGCGTCTGTAATCCAGAGGTAGGGCCTGCCAGTCACTCGCCACCAGGGTCTGTCTCTGGCCAGGGCCTCCTGGTCCTGACAGGCCTGGGGGGAAGGGTGGTGGCGACCACTGGCCGGGCCCTGCCCAGGGTCGGTCTCTGGCCGGGCCAGGGCCTCCTGGCCCTGACAGGCCTGGGGGGAAGGGTGGTGGCGACCACTGGCCTGGCCCTGCCCTGGGGACGTGGCAGGAAGGAGAGGCCAAGTGGCCAGGCTGCATGTCAGCGTCTGGACCCGCGCTTTGAGGGTGATTGACAGCTCCCCCGCATGCTTGTCCAGACCCGGAGCCCACCACGGTGGGCCTGGCACGCCCTGCCCTCCCCACTCCCACTAATGCAGAGCGGGCCTGGGAGGGTTGTCTGTCCATCTTGGACGTGGACCCTTGGCAGGGCACGAAGTTTGGGGGAAGAGAACCTGCCTCTGCGGTGGGAGGGGCTCCCGTGGGCGCCAGGTCAACCAGGGATGGAGCATACAGGCTGGCCTGGCTGCTGCAGGGGGCGGGGGGGGAAGCGCCAGCCTCTGCGATGGGGGGCCCAGTGGGGCCGGGGTGGGCCCAGCCCCAGGGAAAAGGTACCTGGAACCTGTGCATGCAATGATGCCTGCCTGAAGTCTCAGCAAGGAGCAAAACTGGTGGGAAAGAGTCACGGCACAGGAGCTGCCCCTCTGTTCTGGGACAAAGAGGAGGCTAGAGGGCGTCCAGCGGGATGTTGTTCAGGGTGGGACTTGCCTTTGCATGGCAAAGGAAGGAGAGAGGGCCAGGGCAGTGGAGCGAAGGAGAGCGTAGGGTTCTGGGGTAGGCCTCTGGCCTGCGTGCCAAGGGGGGAGCATTGAGCCTTTGTGTCTTCAGGGCCAGGTGGGCTGGCACTGACGCCCGTGCCCTTATCAGACCTGTGCTTTTTCTACCCTAGAAATTTTCGAAAACACCTGCGCATGGTCGGCAGTCGGAGGGTGAAGGCCCAGAGTAAGACCTGGGGGTGGGGGCGGGGGCAGGGCAGCCCTGCGCTTGGCACCTGGGGCTTTTCCTGGGCCTGGCCGCCTGTGCAGACCCACACCCTGGACCTGCTCCAGCCGCAGGCTTTACCCCTGCTCCCTGCCTGGCCGAGGCCCGCTTTCCGCTGGCCTGTCCCAGCCTTGGGCTCTCCGCTGGGCTTGCCTCTCACAGTCCCTACCTTTGACAGGTCCACCTCCTGTCCACACCTGCACGCACACTGTTCCCTTCAGGCTCCACCCCCAGACCCGTCCCTCAGGAATAGTCTTGAACCATCTCCACCTCTGCCCCAGGCCAGACTACTCCAGTGTCAGTATCCTGGGCCAGCGCAGCCCGTGGCCCTGCCCAGCTCACGGGCTTCCTCCTGTTCCCTGCTCTCCCCTGGACCTCCTAGCCTAGGGTCTGACTCAGCTCTGCTCCATCTGCTCCAGCCCCCGGCTGGCTAATAGGGCTTTTGCTCTCACCACAGCGTTCGCTGAGCGGCGCGAGCGGAGCTTCAGCCGGTCCTGGAGCGACCCCACCCCCACGAGAGCCGACACTTCCCACGACTCCCGAGACAGTAGGTGTCTGGACCTAAGGCAGCCTACCCCC